GACGACGTAGGTGCAGCATTTTCTTTGTATTACCCCTTCTGACAGCAAGGCATCGAGGACGTAGATGCAGCATTTTCTTTGTGTTACCCCTTCCGACAACAAGGCATCAGGACCTTCCTTGTATAATCAATTTCGCGAAGAGTTCTCTGCTTTGGATTCTCCCGTTAATTCATGATTTTCCGTTGAATGCCGATGTTTTCAGGAAAAACGTGTTGCTGCTGCTCCAGGCGGTCTTGACCCACAAGAGGTATATGAATCACTCCCTGCTGAAATGCGTGCGGCCTTTGATAGCCAAGATGTTTCTCAGTTGCAACAGGTCGCCCTCTCAATGGATAGAGAGGTAGTCTAACCGTTTATCAAGGTTATAACTCTTTTCGATGATTTCTCCACCTCATGAGTACTGTATCGATTGTAGGTATTCACGTACCATTTCCAACGCTGTATTGATTCTGGCTTGTGGGTACCAAACGCGAACGCCAAGGCCGAGGAAGGTGAACACGCTGATGAAGTTCAAGAGGTTGGTTCAGTTCAATTTGCTGACTGATTGAATGGCTTGAACGAGATGCTACTCAAATTAACATTTCTACGTACAGGATGCTGATACAGTGGCCGCAGCTGAAAAGAGCTAAGTGGAGTCGTTCATCACGTCTTTTTGTTTTATCAAACGACTTCCATTTTGTAGATATTGCTTGGATTAAACGATATTCAATGCTCCAGTGTTTTTCGCTGATTTCCTGATGGCTGTAAGAAAACCACATTACTAGACGGGGGAATCTTACTCCATTTTCTCTTCACTGTATTTTTGGCAACATTTCCCATCTGCTATGTGTTGTACGTAGATTTTACAGATCCTGTGTTGATGCCGTCGGTTCCTTTTTCTTGTCCTGACGTACTACTTTCTTTCAAATTGTGTCTGAAAGTGAATTGATTTCTATTTAACCCATATTCGATTTATTATTTGTGTTTCTATAAAAGTTCGTATACAACAATGCGTAGGTATACTTTTTTTTAGCCCCGTTCTGGTTAGTTGCAGAGGCCCCCTATAATCAACGTGGTAGTTGGCTTTTGATGGTTCTTCAAGCATCAATACAACATGTCATTGAGGTTTGAGTTCCAGAACAAGGGTTGCGGTGAATTTGAAGGGTTGTGCGGTGTGGATTAAACAGATGCATGGATCTACTTGCTTGCAAGCTGAAGGTGATCTGAGCAGCGGAAGAAAGGTGCCCAGTAGTTGCTTGCCTATATGGCCCTTTGCCTTGCTTCTACTGCATCTGGGCAATGGATCGATGAATTATTGGTAACTGGATCTTTGGTGAAACTTTATTAAGCACCACAATCATCTCCTATACTAAAGTAAGCAAAATGGGTCCGTAGATTCATCAGAGTTTGAGGTCCAAAAGTAGTCGAGTCATTAAATCTGGCAAGGTACTGGTTCCGCCGAATCGTCACGATGCTGGCAGAACTTTTCCACGACAATCGCCGAATCCGATGCGCACGCCGTCCTTTTCACAAAATCCAATAAGGTTAACCTTAAAAGGGAAACATCGAATAGCAAACGAAAAATGGAATAGTAGAGGGAGGCTGGCGGCTAAAAGGCTGCTGAGGGGCATAAGAGACGGTAATACGGGAAAGGACAGCATAGTATGTAACAAGCCCCTTCAATCTTACTTCCACATTCCCTTGTAAGAACGGCACTCATCCCAAGCTGACGACCCCCCCCCCCCCCCCCCCCCGCGTCCCCCATGTCTGAAAAAAACTTACTTCGTCACCATCCTGTAGGAATTTTCGTGTCTGATCCCCGACAGCAACAGTCTTTGCTCCTCGCCACGACAGTTCTAGCATCGATCCATAGGCTCCTTCTTCCTGAACATGTGGGTAAGGCTAATTATTCTAGAATTGGCTTCCGAACTGCTTTCACAGCAGCTCTCGAAGGATATTTTCTAATACTCACCGGTCCGGAGACGGTTCCAGATCCCATCAAATCACCAGGTCGAACATTACAGCCGTTTACAGTGTGATGAGCTAATTGTTGTTTCAGAGTCCAGTATAGATGCTGAATTCGATTCAATCAATTTCTATTGGTTCCAGTGCAATCTTGAAAAGCCGGGAGTCACCTTGAAGTTGGTCTTACACACAGAGTGATCGGTACCTCCATCGGGCTTGATCGTCACTTCGAGATTGATATCCAGTGTGAAAGGGTCCGAGTGCTTCAAGTAACTCAACGGGGCAGGATCCTGTGCAGAGAAAACTTACATTAAAAGCCAACTTCCTAGTGAATTGTAAATATAATCAGTTTTTTTGTAAATCACTTAGGACTTTCACTGGAATCTTTCCTAAGTTGTCTTGGGGGCGTTTCCGCTGTCATAAGTGGGAGGCAATCTTAGAAACAAATTCCTCTTCCTCATTATTTATCTTTTCGATGTTCCGGAACTGCATTAGTGCAGCTTGATCCGCCTAGCAACCGCGCTAGCAAATGGTCGGCGTTAATCGCCTGTTCTTGCTAATCATGAAGTTAGGGATGAAATCTCGACTTGTCTCTGGGAGTATAACATCGATGGAGGGAGATGGGGGACTAATAAGTGGCACCACGGTCCCACGCACGGCCATAGATCTAATCCATATAGAGCCTTTTATTATTGCGCTCGGCATTTATCAGGTGGGATAACTGGTACGGCACAGCTCTCGGAGGTTGAAAAACACTAAGTTTCCATATTCCACGGTCACAGTATAGGCCCGATACGCAGTCATACGGTATGACATTCTCTAAGGTTAGCCAAATGTATGGTTTACGCTGAAAAATGTTCCAGAACAGCGAAGAGTTAAAGACTCTTCTCAGGATATAGCTATCTTCACAAATGTTATGAAAAGACGGAAATCGGACCTGATTTGGATTTTCGACCATGTACGGCCGTAGGGCTTCAATTGTAACTATCCATGGTGAAATGGTGGTACCGAATGACTTTCCAAGGAATGGTCCAAGAGGTACGTATTCCCAAGCTTGGATGTCACGAGCTAAAATGAATTTTAAGCAGCTTGTTACATTCAAACTTATAGCATGCCGCAAACTCAGACTGATACGGTTCCTTTGACTTTGACCAGACAACCAGTCTTCCCCAAAAAAAAATTTTGCCATTGCTTACCACTCCAATCATTCATCAGTACAACACCGAAGATGTGCTCTTCAGTGTCTTCGATGGGAATTGGCTGACCAAGTTTGGTGGCTGGACCACCAACGAAAAACGCCATCTCAAGCTCAAAATCCAGAAGACGAGATGGGCCATAGGTCGGCTCAGCGGCTGGAAAATTCGGCCGTCTCTAACGATACAGACTTTGAATGGTCAATCATCTGAAAGAAAGGACTCACCTCCTTCGGGTTTCACTTGTCCGCGTGGGCGTCGAATTGGTGTACCGGAGGGAACAACTGAGGAGGCCCGTCCGTGATAGCCGACTGGCAACCATTTCCTGAATGTTTGTAGATTTTTATCACAAACTGGACCAATTAGGTTGAGAATATTCCATGAAGTTGGATCCCTCTTGCAAATACCAGCACAGATTACGGTAACATTTGAAGTAACATCCGGTCATCCATTGGGCAGTTATCAAGTGACAAGTAATAGAAGGAGCTGGGGCTTCAATAATTTGTTCAACTCGGATCTAAGGCATCTTTGTTGATCCTAAAAAAACTCATGGGAATGGAAAGAAGTGTGAGCCGTTTCTTTCTTAGGCCTTTTTCCTTTTTCTTTTTCCTACGACAATAGTGCACCCTATAAAATGAGGAACTGGTTTTTTGGGCTGAATTCTCAGATGAAGACAAAGTTAGAGCTCACCAGTTAGGCATGAGAGCATTCTCCTTGCCACGGAACATTATACCGACATTAGTGGCGTGGTAGATGGATGAGTAGAAGTCTGTGTAATCACCTAAACGAGCCAACATTAACTTGAAAAAAAAAAGATTTCAATAATTTCCTTCTTGGATTAGCTCACCAATGGTAGCAGGGAGATGCATCGTGGCATCTTTCTGGCTGACAAACGCATTAGCTCTTAGCTCAAGATTCTCCTTCAGTGTTGGAACATCGTCTCGGAGTAGTCTTTGAATAGTCGCTCGAGCTTCTACCCATGCAGCACGAGGGAGAGCCATGAAGTCATTCAACGTCTCCTGTAAAGTGAACGAACTTGAGCTTGAACTAGCTTTAGACACCAGGTCAATAAAGCCTCTATGTTCAACTAGGGGGAGACAAGGCTTCGGGAAACAATTCCATCAAACTCTTCGTGGATCTATTACTAATCAAAATGTTGGTACGACTCTGACGTATTGAGTGTACGAGGTGCAACTAAGCGATAAAAGAGCCTGATAAGATGTCATTCAAGTGAAGCCCTTTTATAAACTTCAGTGACTATGGAGCTTTTTTCTACTTTATTATGATCGCTATTTAGTCCAGAACCGTTTCAGTGCTTTCATGAATGGTTGCGCTTTACTGGTTGAGGTGCATCGCAACCGCTCGCGTCATATTTTACTTCACTAACTTCACTTGAGCTATTTTTCATTGGATGAGCTCTTGCTGTATTTTGGCAAATGTCGAGTCATTATGGTACAGTAGTACAAATCGAATAAATCAAAATTTCAAACCTGTCTGAAGACATCCTGATGGGCTTTCAATGATAAACTATCGAAGAGATGAGCTATAACTGAGAGATCCAGAATAGATTCGCCAATAGCAACTCCAATACGATGTTTAGCCTGAAGTTTCATTTTCATGTGGTGTCAGTATTTTAATTAGGTAATTCATTTGTAAAGTGCTGCGTATTTATAGTAGGAGTCATCGCCCTAGAGGTCATGCTGTATTGATGTTCATAGCGTAGCACGTGTAAAGGGAGCGGTCACTGGTGCTCATTATCATACCGTTATTCCCAATCTCCATGTGTGATATTGAGTATTTGTCAATCTGGGAGCTCCAAAGGGAGGGGACCGGAGTGAGGTGAGCTTCCTCCGCTTCTAAATATCTTTTTAAGCAAGAGGGCAGAGCTTTCTTCGATGCTGTTTTGACATCTCTCACCTATGCAATGCTTTTTACGCGTTGGCTGATAGGCTTAGAGCAAAAAAATCGCAAAACTGAAAAAATTTAAAAAATCGTAAAAAAGAGTGACAAGTCTCTGTTACGACCGTACATTGTCTTTGGTAGAGAACACTCCGTAGGGAAGGTTCTGTATTGGGAAATCCGAACCTTCAGGTACTGGAATGAACGATTTCATACCTGAAATAGAAGCTGGATGACCTAACAAAGCCAGACAAAGAAAAAATCAGAAAATCTGAGTGGCAGGAACGATTGCTTCGCTATGATAAATCATAGGGCTCCAGCTGACAACTGAGAAAGGTAAGAAGTTTCCTAATCTGCGTTTCGAGGTGAATTAATTCCATTCTCAGGAATAGGTTGTTACTTGTAATTGTTATAGACATAATAATGAACCACGAAGATGTCCTCTCTAGGTGGGTACTGCGTTGATTTCTGTGGGTTGGAAAGTGGCACTCATTCAAATACACAATTAAGCAAGCCTACTACTTACGAATCCGTTTTTTAGAAATTTAATAAAGAGCTCTTCCAATAACTTCCGGTTCTCAGCTTTCTAGATAACTGTATGATCGTATAGAGGAATTCTCCTATAAGGTCTAAAGACCCCGCCACTGCGGAACGGTACAAAGAGATTAATCCGAAACTTTAGGTAGAAGATTCAGTGAATTCAAAGATGAAATTCTTGTTTCTACTATGAAGTATGAGGTTGTTTCAAGCATGCCTCTTCCAGTAAAAAAAAATGAAAGGATCCGAGAAAAAAGCTTCGATTTTTCCGTCTTTCTGATAACCCGATGAGAAGGAAAGATGACGAAAAGTGAGACAGAGTAGATGAGGGGACACTATTTTACTTGCTGTGCAGTTCTGTATAGTCGATTGAAAACAGCCAAAGTAAAGTTTCAGGAGTGAGGGAACTGTTCTATGGGAATGAACTTTCTTATGTGAAAAGATCGATAAAACACCGGCCGATGAATGATGGCTCGATGCCATCGATGACCTTTGGTTTCGCCATTGAGGCCCGTACAAGAGTGGTTAGAACAGAGGAACATGGAGTAAAACAGGGAGAAATAACGAGAACACACGAAATGACCACCAAAAATGATAAGTTTATTACTGAAGTGCAATTACAAGCATTTGACTGAAAAATGAGAGATTACTGTCGCTATAAACCCTTAAGGGCCTCTGCAGAGGAAATGATCAAAGGATTAGAAAAAAAAAACGAAGAAATTTGCTATCAAATTGAATGGGCTTATCATAGCCAGTATGAGAAAATGGCATAAAAAGGAGGATTGGTCGCGATGGTATCGCCCAAGATGGCGACCGAGGCCGTTTGACCCCTGTCGTCAAAACGGAGAACGGAACCGATAACGGGTAACTAACGCATATACGAATGATAAGGATGTTCTGTCAACGAAAAAAGGGTAAAAGATTGAAGGTAAAGTGATTTTTCGGTGGGAGGCATGACAAATTGAAGGGCTTAAGGATCATACACTTGCCAATCAGTACCAGTAGACTTACAACGGTTGCATTCGTTATCCTTGACAGCCATGCATCCTTCGAACATTCTCCACGGCTTTGTGAATTTGCTCAGAAATCAAACGAGATCCGCAGTTTAAAAGTAGGTACTCAATGAGGTCTTGGTGGCCCTGGATATGAACAAGCTTACCCAGCAAAAACCATCATATCAGACGGGGTGACACTACAGAGCTATGTCGATGCCCATTTGGTCCATTTGGTTTAACAGACTTTGAAGGAAGTCAGATTTGAATTATTTTGACATCCAGTTCAACTAGGCCTTTCGCTAAGAAGTGGAATTGAAGAAAAAGACCAGGTTGGCGAGGTCCCTCTGGGATCTGTTTACATGACTGCTTACTTGAAACGATTGATCAGTTCCCTTCAGCATTAGCATCGAATCGAATGATCGGATAGTTTGATTCACCCGTTGTACGTCAATTTCGACTGAATCATCGAATTGGAAAACTCTCTTACTACGCTGAAACGTCTTCTTCATTCAGTTCTTAACAAATTCCCAACGCCCGAGAGACTTGGGTGTGAATCGAGCGCGCGGCTTATACTGAGCTCAGACGTACCATCGGATTTCAATAGACTGCACCTGTATGTGTGGAACTCCGTAGTAGCTGTCAATGCATATCGCACTCGGACACCTCAGAACATCTATCTCGTTCGAGCTACCCAATCTACCCAGACGTCCTTACTTCCAGGCCAGTGTAAAATAATAAAAATATTAACTTTACAACTACACGGGTCAGCCCATTAATTGGTTTTTCTGACAATGCGAAAGCACATTCCAAGGTAGCTCGGATATATCTCTTGCTTTGCTCAGGTATCAGAGTGTAGCGTGTAGTAGGAAGGAGACCCTCCTGTGCAAAAAACCAAGATAAATCGGGGAAGTTCAGCGGAATTAGTTTGAATGGTATCTTCAGCCGATTCGAGAGAGAGATAAGATTTTGTTTACCAATCATTGTGCACATTTAGACTGATCAAATCGATTAATTCATTGATCTTGTTAGCTTTTCCTGGTAGTGATACGCTCTCGGTTTAGTTCCTTCGATCCATTCATCCGTGGGCGGGACTGCCGGAAAAGGCGTTGCTGGCGAGCCCCTGACCTTTCCAGGTCACTTTTGATGGCAAAAAGTTCTGATCATTTTCAGATCAGATCATTTTCACCTACGAAATTTTTTTTGCAAAATTTGATCGCAGTGAAAATTGTTTGCGAAATGAGGACAAAGATGTTGACAACAATCAAAAGGTAAACAACTTTGTTGACGTAAAAACAATAGGTATTGACCTTTTCGCGTGCAGTTTCTCATACTCACACGTTTTTCATTCTGGATCTTAATGAGTAGTACTGGGTGCAGATACAATAGGGATGTTGATTCTCTGTACACTTGGGCCCTTCGGTGCTTCAATAGTCAGATGGCCTTTGTCATTGAGTTGAGGGCGAATTGCTTCCAGATTTACATCTTCCGGAAGAGTCCATCTGCGAATGAAAGACCTGAAAAAAGTCCGTAAGCAGTTTAAATAGTGCAGAGGCGAGAAGCACCGTTGCAAGGGTGATTTGTGAGGAAAAAGGTTTCCGACAAAAACTAAGCTGCTTTATGTGCTGTAATATTTGTTCGGAGTAACAAGAACCATGTGGCGAACGTTTGCTTTGGAACCCCCTCACGTCGCCTCACAAAGATGTAGATAGGAACAATTTTCGTGGAGTACACTAAGGGGAATCGAAGTCAAATTTATGGCATGGGGCGCCCAAATGGCCTGAATGATCTCTACAGCAGGGAAATATTAGCATCCAATTCCTTTTTTTGTAACTACTGGAACGATGATTTACAACCTTCTAAGGCCCAAGGAGAAATGGTTACTAATTGTACCTGTTTGTGAGTCATATAATATGAATTTATAAATTATAGGGGGTAATACTTCCATTGTCTTGGAAAAAATACAGACGCAAATGACTCCCTTTGAAATTTGGAATCATTGGAAGGCGTACTTGGCTAAAATCTTTCCCATAGAATTTGCCGATGTAATACAAGCCAGCACTTCACCCTCTTAGACAGCCCTGGTGCCCCTTTCACCTATCTGAGGAGGTGGAAGGCTCAGGTGGATCCGAATCCCCACACCTTTCGTGCTACCCCATTTAGGCACCTCCACTCCTTCAGAATTTAAATGAGAGAAAAACAACTCGGTGGCTCAGCTAATATACCTCTGCATGTAGCTGTTTGCATCCTTTTGCTCCTGTTTACCCTCGACGATCAGCTCATGTCCTTCGACATGAACATTCACTTCCTCCGGTCGGAAGTGTGAGACATCCAAGCTAACAGCGAACTTACTGTCGTCATTGGTAGGCTGTAAAACGCTGAGCATATACTGTAGCAGGGTGTCACCAAGGCTGAGCTTACCTGGTGAGTTTCTCCGCCCACATGTAGCACAGAATGATCGGCATCTCTCCAGTATGATGGGAACATTTCTCGTTCAAAACGATCAAAATCACGCATCATGTCGCGCATCATACGGGATGTTCTGCTTGTGTATGGCCATAGATCCATTACTGTTTGATAACCACTGGTTTACTGAAAGGTTAGAGATGGAAAGTGGGTAAAACTGGCACAGAAATAGCGAAATTACACGAATACACTTGGTGTACTGTCCCTCTGCTGGAAACAATCAGACAAGTGCCTTTCTTATCAAATGAACACAGCAAAAGGGCAAACAACTGTGTCGTTTTTGAGTTCGTTCCGACCCAATGGCGATCAGATTGAGGGAATTGGCATGCGGATTTAGTTTTGAACCACGTTTTTACCATGGTCAGCTGTGAAAAGACTAGATTAGGCCACCAAAAGGAGCCTTATGGAAATGAATTCAGAAAACATTCTTAGAACTTTGTTTACTTCAGATCTTCTTCACCGAGATATCTGCACTGTACTTCTGTTTAGGTGGTTTGCCAACATTTGAGGAACCCTTAATTACCTCAAATTCAGACCGTTCACTGCGTTTTAGGCGTCCATAAAAGGAAGAATGGGGAAGCGGATGAGCTACTACATAAAAGGGAACTGATGTGAACATTACCAATAATTGGTGGAAGTTGGATACATGACCTGTCCTAGCTGGGTGCATCGAATCAATCACATCCCTTTAGTCATATGAGTGAAAAAATGGACAACGGCACTGCATAAGTGACTGGGACGGATCAGAAAAATCAAGAAAACACCGCTTTGAATCAACGGAAGAGTAAAAGTGACACGAGAGGTAGGAAAGGATCTGGTTCACTCAAGAACAAGAGAAAACAGTGAGATCAGTGGGCAAGAAAAGAGCACTTGCAGCAGTTGTTGAGTATATGAAATGATGCCATAAAGCAACCAACAGCAGTTTGACTCGGGCTTGAACGTTTGGCTCGGACTTGAACCTATAATTTTCGGAGGGTGTGAGCTCACTTCAGAGGCCATTGCTCTCATATAGACGACCAGGAAGTCATCAAACCCAGGAGTTATCACAATTGAATCTCTTAGAGAGCCTGCAAATGGAATGGAATGCAACTGGAACAAACTGCTCCAGAAACAGCTCATCGGATCCGTTGATCGAAGGTTAAGAGGTGTTTCTTGTTTGTAGTTCCGTTGCTGCATAATTCTGACCCCGCCCTATAGGAAGGTTTGCAGAACCGGTGATGAAATAGCTTGGAAGAATGGCGCCCTTACACTGAAGAATGCATCGATTGCAAAGGAACAAACGATTTGGTCGTTTTTTAGAAGTCTGTTACGTGCACGGCTTGCGTTATGCTATTGATTTCGTACGACTAGTCATAAGAGACTCACTGGGCATCTCCAGGGTCTGCAATTCATTCGACTTCCTCATAGGATCGTAGAAGGGTCCAAATAAGGTCTTGAACCTCTTAAGGAGTCTAGGTGAGTAATAATTAATCGAATCTACACCGGAAGAGATCACTGAGATTCGTAGAGAATCAAACGTAACTCAATAGGCTGTGGTGCTGAGTGCCAAGGTCCTTACAGTCACGCCCACGGTCCTAAGATCGGAACCCAGGCTGGCACCTACTCAAGGCAATCGAGCTTCTATTCCTTCTGAGTTGGTTAATTGGAGCGAATTTGTCTAGGCGTATAGAAGCACGGCTTTGTACCCAGCTGGTTACGTAAGCTTTTGTATAAGTCACATACGCATATAGAACGCCACCAGGATTCTGAATGGAAGTTGAAGGGGCGAAATGGAGCTGAATTGTAGGTTTGACTATTCTCCCCCTATTTTCGAATCCCATTCCAGAAAAATCCGGTCATGGTAATTCAGTCTCCCATTTATGGTATTATGCCCTGACGATCAAACATTTTGGATTTCAATGGGCTACATTATGGGTTTAGTCATCTGATGATCGAGGGATGGTGTAATGGTAGTTGAAA